AAGGGATGGTCATCTCCTTACTGTATAAACACCTTACAGGTTATGCCACATATTCTAAAAATTAGTAACACAGTAAAACTGACTAGGTACCAAACCATCAGATGCAATGACACTGACTTAAAATAACCCCTCCAGAAATTATGTAATTGCTTACGTCTCAAGAATATTCAAGTCAGCTGCCTCTAACAGCAAAAACCCAATAAATCTTCATACTAAAGGAAGAGTGCAGAAGTTAGCTATTCCTTCAGTTACTTACCAATCAGGATTTGACCCGTTTTCATTGCAGAACTACCTGGCACCAAGCCATGTACCACAAGCTTCTCTTCACTGACTCCTCCGGTGGCTTTATCCCTTCTGCCTTGTTTTTCCACTCTTCTGCTGCTCCATGAAGACTGATGGACAATACCTACTAATGCTTCTAGCAGCCTCTGCTGCTCTTCTTCCCCAGCACTGTAGAGTTTTCTGGGATTTACATAAACAGATACATCTTTGTACCTCTGCTGAACAGTGACACCCATTTTCTGAGCAGACCGGTGTTTCAATATGGAAGTAGGACCAGAGGGGTGCACACTGCAGCTTCCACTGCCTTTCTTACCAGAACTCTTTGGTAAAAGACTTTTTCTTTTTAGCATTTTGGTCCATTTCTTCAGTTCATACTTTCTTTCCTTTCGTGATCCCTCTTGAATAATTTCAGCTTCGTTTTCACGAAACCGGACATGATTCACTGCTGGCATTTCTGGACAGCTGTTCTGAAGCAGAACTTCTTCTTCACTTTCACTTAATTCTAAATAAAATAATTCTCCATTTTTCTGCACACTATCCAACCACTCAGGCTCAAGGTCACTGGAAAAGAAAGAGGAATGGTCAATGAGTCCTGATAAGGAGGATCACTGTGCAAGTGAGATCTGATTATTTTAAGTAGGGAGGGGACAGAGAGAGTGCAAGGATTGAATAAAAAGTAGGAAAAAAAATAATTGTCCCCTGAACATTGTCAGCTCAGGAGGGTTAGAGCTTGTTTTAGATAAATGATGGATATGGCAAGGAAAAACATCCCTCTCATCAGTAAAATAGTTTCTTCAAATGCCTTAGAGGAAAACAGCCATTGCAAAATGTAGTATTCTCTTTTCAGAAAACAAACATTTCTTTGACATGCAAGTTTTAATTAGCAATTACATTCATGTGCATGATGGGATTTTCTCTTAAGAGAAAAAATTCCATTCTGTTTGTTCTCTCCCATTATTTTTTCCTTTATGCATTTGTAATATAATCATTGCATGATTTTTAAGGTGGTCCTGTGCAGAGCCTGATGATGGACTTGCTAATCCTTGTGGGCTCCTTCTAACTCAGGATATTCTGTAATGCTATGGGAACACAGATTGCCAGCCCTTTGGAAAGGGAAGATAAACATTTTAAAAATCACTTAACATTAAAAAAAAAAACAAAAAACCCAAAACAATCTAAAATGAAATCTAGGTAACAGATTTAAAAATTCAAGTTCCAAATAGCATCTGCAAAAAATACACACTAAAAATGCAAAGGGGCAGCACTGCTACAGAAACAGATCTGGCAGCTGGTGTGGATCACCCAAAGTCAGGAGCAAGACACTTCTGCAAAGCAAAGGCAAAGCAGCTCTAGGATATAACAGAAACATCATCAGCACAGTGCAAAAAAATTTTTGTCCTAATTTGGCAATGGTGATGTATCAGCCATGTCCAGTTTTGGATAGTAGGTTTTAAGAAAGATGTAATAACTGGAACACACCCAGAGCAAAGCGACAAATGCAATGTAGCCTATAAACACATTTAAAGGGAAGGAGAGTGAAGGAAATAATCTCTCTTGGCTGAGGAAAAAGAAGAAAAAAACAACCAAAAACTGCCTGCTGAGGGGCAATAGACCAAATGAACCTTGAGGAGAACCATGGAGTGCTACTCCAGATACATGAGAAGCCATAATGGCCAAAGTAAGAAGAGTCCTCAGAGGTTTAATTATCTGAGATGTTCTGCATGGAAGATTTTCAGGAACAAACAAGACCAGTTAATTCTTCCTAACCAGATGAGAAAAGGTCTCTTTGTTTCATAAAAGTCATATGAGGAAAAACAAGACTGGAGATTTACATCCTAATTAATATAGTAGTTTAAAATCAACACACATTCATACATTTTGCACTAGAACTACTTTTACTGAATAAAGAGTGCAAATCTGGTTTAAAGCAAGTAATAAATATTCAAATAGAGCATTTATTTGAAAACACATACAAATGACCAAGTTTAGCTGAACAGAGAACATTACACAGTCATTGCACCAGAGCACCTTCAAGGGCTCAATAAGAGGATCTGGGTGGAATAAAAATACACAAAACATTGGCATTACTCTCCTTCTGGAGTCCCAATTATTGAGAAAAGTCTATGGATCTTGCAGGCAGGAAGAAACATCATCTCTCTCCTATGCATTCATCAGCATTTTTTCCCAAATAGATAATTTAAAAGAAGAGCCACCACTTGTGATAATTTGGATCTACCTGAGGGATAAATCCAAGTTTGTGATTTTTGCTGAGTCGTACTCACAATCCTGAGTTCTCATTCAAGAAAGTATCAGAATGCTAACAAAACCTAAAGGCTGTCAAGGCTCTTTCTGATCCAACATCTCTCAGAAGGTGGTAGGTAGAAATAACATGAGAAAAGGTTTTCCTTGGTTTGTTTTTTAAGGAGTACTCCCACATTCTGGCATATGTAAGCAAAATTAAGCAAAACCAACCAAACAAAAAACTTCCAACAAAACCCAACCAAAACAAACAAAAAACCAAAATCACCAAACCAACCAATCAACTCCCCCCCCCAAAAAAAAATCGAAACCAAAAAACAAACAAAAAAGGAAGCAAAAAAGAAAACACTAGAAATTTACAAACAAATAACATCTGGACTAGCAAAAACTTCTGTCATGTATGATAGCATTTTTATTCCCTCTTTAAAAAGACTCTGATATTTGGAAAAGCTGTTTCTTCTTCGGGGTAGGTGTCAATATTTCAGCCGGGACATGAGTTCATACAGTCATGTTCTCCAGCTTTGTTCTCTCTCTATTTAGAATAGAACAATATAGACCATTGGCAAAAAAAAAAAAAAAAAAAAAAAAAAAAAAAAGGTGAGGGCATTCTGGTGGCTACTCTGGGTTCGTTCAAACAGAACCACTCCAGAGAGAAGTCAAGAAGGAACTGTACTGTAAAAAAACTCTCACTTTCCCAACAGAGATCCACACAGACATCCAGAAAAGCAAATCTGAAATAAGAAGTCTGCACCTAGCATGAGAGGTTTTTTACCCCCCTAATGCTGTAGTGTCACAATAAATGTAAACCAAGCAAGGCAAGAAAAAAGGAAAAAGAAATATTTTGATCTCTTTTCTCTTGTGTCAAAACAAGTGCTTACACAATAACCTCAACTTGCCTCTAGGACTGGAAGCTTCAGTCATATGAGCTAAAAAACTTGAAGGCCTGTATTTCTCTGAGAGTAGTTTCACTGACTCCACACAGGTATTTCCTCTTTGGGATAAATGTCTGGAAAACTGTGCTGATTGAAATTGTCCGTTTTTGGAAGAAAGATAAATTAGAAAGGCTCCAAGTTCTGCTGGATAAATTGTTATACATTTTTAAAATCATTACACATATTATTACAAGTAGTAGGCATGTGTTATGTGCTGAAATCTGTGGAAGAGCTTTATCCCCTAAACATATATAATGAATGACTGTAAAATGGCATTTTAGACAAAAGAATTGAGAAAAGAAAAAAACCCAGTAACACAGAAAAAAAAAAATCACTTCAAGCTGAAATATTACAGCTGAGTTCTGGTTCATAAATAGAGGAATAAAGTAAGGGAGGTGTACCAACAACAGCTTTGTGTCTGAGCCAGAGGTACAGGGCAATTACAAATTAAACTAGGCTTGAACACAATTCTAACTTCTCCCACTTACTATTTTTCCCCCTCCACTGCACAGCATGATTAAACTAACATGCTGAATTAAACGCTATTGATTAGTCCACGAAATACACATTTGAAGTGTCAAACACAGCTGTCTTAACACAGGGAACCAAGTCAATGTTGTAAGTTGTAAACAACCAAGTTGTTGTTGTAAGCTGTACTTCATCCGAATTAAAAAAAAAATATACAAATAAGCTAGAATCCCGGAGGCTGCATTTTTAAGTTTAAAATATGTATTATTACAGAATATTTATTAATACAGAATATGTATTATTCTGTATATTTCAGAACTATCTTCTGATTTAGACAGAAGATGTGTGAAATACACATTCGAAGTGGAAAGCACAGCTGTTTTAACACAGGGAACCAAGTTAATGTTAGAAGTTTAACTCCATCCGAATTAAAAACCACAGAAATAAACTAAAACCCTGAAGGTTGCATTTGTAACTTTAAAATACGTATTACTACAGAACCGCCTTCTGACTTAAGACACTAAAATGAAAGACGACACCTTCCTCGCTAAAGCGTGTGCCAAGTCCCTCCTTACCCTCCTCTTCCCCGCGGGATGCGGGACTCGGCGCAAGGACTGCCCGCAGCTGAACCCACGCCGCGTTACCGTCAGGGACACACTGCGGGAAACCTCGCACGGCTCTCTGCTGCTGGAGCCAGCTCAGCCCAGCCCGGCCCAACCCAACCCAGCTCAGCCCAACTCAGCTCAGCCCAACCCAGCTCAGCTCAGCTCAGTTCAGCTCGGCCCGGCCCGGCCCCGCACCGCCCGCAGCCGGGCTCCGCTGCGCACGGGCGGCGCGACCCCGGCCGAGCCCCCGCGGCTCGCCCTTGCGGGCCCCGCCCTTACTCGGAGCTCGCAGCCAGCGAGGAGCCGGAGGAGCCGCTCTGGCTGCCGGTGCCCGCGGGCTCAGCGCCGTCTCCCCCGGCCGCCTCCTCCATCCCCTCAGCGGCGCCGCTGCCGACGGGCGCCCCGGACGCCATGACAGCCGCGCGCCGGGCGGGGCACGTGACGCGCGCCGCGGCCTCCCATTGGCCGGCGCGCCGCCCGCCATGGAGACGGAGGGACGCGCGAGCGCCCGGCCGTGAGGGGGTGAAGCGTCGCCTCCATCGCCCCGGGAATTCCCTTTGCCCAGCCTCCCCCGGCCTTCCAGAGCCTTTCCCCGCCTCAACAGGAGAACCAGGCTTTATTTAGTTTATTTAGTGCCAGCACCCGTCCCATAAAAAGCACCGTTAGTGAAATTCGGGAGACCTAAGAGGTGAGGCTCAGAGCATTGTAACCCAATCAGGAGGGGGAAACATGAGGTAAAAAGTGGTTCTGGGGTCAGCTGGTAAGCAGTGGAATGCCTCTGTGTTTTATTTTATGTGCTGTTGTATCGATTTAACGAGCTGTGAGAAATTAAGCTAGGTTCTCCCTAGGTTTGTCAGGAGAGCAGCGCGGTTCAGGAGAAGCAAGGATGTGACAGACCCAAAGAAGTACCTTAAAATAGCCCATGCAGTCTGCACGTGTAAAATCATGCACAGTCGAGAGAGACACACACAAAAAACCCCAAACCCTACTCGGTTTTCAGGACTTAAATTATTCACATCCATGAAAAACAAGACCTATGGCAGCCCTGCAGACAACTTGCTGTGTAGCTGTGTCAGTAAACCCATCAGGACACACATGGTGAGTAGGGAAAGGGATGGAGAGTAATTGTTGGAACATGTTTCATGTACTGGGTTTAATCTCTGCTCAGTGGGATATTTGCACAGCTTCAGCAGTGAGGTTTTATAGCGCTGGAACACTACAGAGGAGTGACAGAATCCTGGTATGAAATTGCTGTACTTGAAATTGCTTTAGGGAAGCGTATATTAGTAAGTGTGATTTCAAGTGAATTAGCAGACAGAAATGTTTTGGACTCACATCCACGTGATTAAGGCTTCAACTGGACTAAAAATACCTATATTAAGTACTGAAGGGCCATTCTGAAGTCCCTGGACAAGACCTGATTTCACAGATAAATTACTGTTGCATGGTTATTAAGACTACAAACGTATCCAGAGGGAGAGAGAGAAACATTTCCTAAAAAAAAAAAAGCTTGTGCTACTATGGTTTCATTTAGAAGGTGAGATATACTGTCCCACCCTCCCTAATTATGCTTACATTTGCAAGCACTTCTAATACACCGAGCAGCACACTGAAGTGTTTCTGTAGAGAAGCGATAGTCAATGCCAGATGGTGCTGTGTTAGTTAAATTTCACTGAGTTCAAGAGCTGATTAATTGGTTCCAGTTGTTTGCTCACTAAGTGAGAAATACAGGCTCTCTCTCAAGGAGGCAGTGGTTTTACACCACTTGCTATTTTATAGGAATAAGCATATTATGAATGGAAGGATGATGGAAGGCTTTGGTCCTCTGAGAGAAGTAGCTGGGAGCCACCTAAAGACTTTGCTGAAACGAATGTGGAATTTCTGCTGCTGTGGGAACAATTAAAGATTGCAGGATATATCTCGCACAGCAGGATCTTATTTTAGTGAAGACACAGATTTTCCCACACAATCCCTCTTGAGAGGAAAGCCTCTCATTTCTTGGGCATAAATATTAGGATGAAACTTGAAATAATTTGTCTTCTGGCAGACACTTTACACTTAATCCGAGTAGCTGGGGCTGGTGCTCCTCACTAAGGAATCCTTGAGCCTTCTATGCCAAGTTGCTGGTTTTAAAATGCAGATGGTAAAACTCTGCCAAAGGTAATCACTGGCATCAATAGCACTGCTCACCTTCACTAGACAACTGGGTAATGAGCACTTAGGAATGGATAATTAAAGCCTGAAGGTTGTTCTGATTAGCTGTTCATGCAAAGAACTAAATGCACGTGTGGAAATTTGTTTCCTGAGCAAGAGTTTCTTGTTACTTTTTTTTTTTTTTTTTTTTTTTTTTTTTTTTGGCTTAACCTGTTTCAGAAGCTGTTGTGCTTTAAAAATAACAGCCTGCCTTGATCTATGCCTATATTCAGAAGGAGAGTGAAGTTAAAAGACAGGGTATAGGACATATTGGTTCCATGCTTCAAATTACAGCTCTTCATTATTGCTAATGAGATAAGAAGGCCCTAAGTGACTTGTTAATGTTTCATTTTTTCCTTTCTTGATTTCCAGGAATTAATATTTTCTTAATATTTCCAGGAAGGCTCTACCAAGAACTGGATAGACACAAATGATACACTGCAGATAAAACATGATCCGTTACAAGCAGATAAAACTAAGAGGGAAGTAGTTTCATCTTTGTTTTTCAGTTGTGTTTCTTGCTAACGCCTGTTTACTAAAAACTAACCTAAAATATGAGTGACATTATACTTCAGATATTGATTGCAGTGTTTTTTTATTCCTCCAGGGTATAGCATGAGCAAAATATATCAGAAATAATTCCCTCTTTTTTAAAGATGAATGACAACAACTCAACTTTCCCCTCCCCTGCCCAAGTGTTTCTTAAAGGACAAAATACATATTTCACAAGGATTCCTTAATAATGAAGATTTTTTAAATTACAAGGTTCCCATAAAACCGTGTAAGACTGTGATTTAAAAATCTTCTGTTCACAGCTCCCCTGACAAGACTGTGTAGAGACCATCCACAGCAAAGTGGCATGAGTTGAAGAGTGACACTGTCATTTTAATCAGGATATTTACATATAAACAAAATTAAAGCTATCTCTGGGACCAGAGGAACAGAAATTTTGTGAGCAAACACTCAATAAATGAAATAAATATTCTGACTTCTTAAGATTTCTGTATCAGCTCTGATCACAGAAGGTATTTCAGAAGAACACAAAACCCAAGGAGGACAGCCATGAAAAATCTGTGAAGAGTAGTACAACTCATCTCATTCTATTGAAAAACAGTCTTCTAGAGTTAAGAGTTTTCTCCAGAATGAAAAGCAGCTGTAATTTTCTTTTTTTTTTTTTCTTTTTTTTTCTCTTACTGCTTTTACTTCACCTTTAATATTTTAAATGCCTTTTTTTCGGATCACCTGCTATGCATAGCAGGCATGTCAGGCATGAAAGAAAACCATTATTTGCAGTCAGTCAACATGCAAATGTTTCAAGCATGAGTAGCCTTATTCCACTTAGACTATCTTAATGTAAGCAATACCACGGGGCAGCGTGTTTTTAATCCGGCTCTGAAATAGAACATTTTCTGTTAAGTCACTGAAAAGTCCATGGGGTTCTGTTTGCACTCGAGCACATTTATTGTGCATAAAGCAGCTCAGAGTGCCGTGCCGGAGCAGGCTGATTGCAGCGTGCCCTCCTTGCCGTGCTGTGTGTTTGCGTCTCCAGTGCTCACAGGAATGGATTTCACACGTCTGACGCCTTGAGCTAGAGTTAACAACCACTTGTTAGTATCCATAGCAAGAGCTGCTTGGAGCTGGCACTGGAAGTGCCCGTGTGCTTTTTCTGTGCAGCTGGAAATAAACCAGCGTGGCTCAGAAACAGGAAACGGACACTTAGTAGAACTGGAGATGAGCTTCTCTTGGATTCTGCTGAACGGGATGCGTTTTTCTTTGTAAAGTTTCTGCGGCTCTCAGCTAAGCACATGGAAAATGCCATTAAGGGTGGCTTTCAGTATCCTGCACGAGCCTGCTGGGCGAGATCCTATTGTCGAGATGTCTTTGTGGGGGGATACCGTGGAAAATCGCACGTTAGGGATGGTGAATGCGGGAGGAAAAGCAGCTGCTTCTCATACAGTGTGCCGCCTCCTGTGCATCCACTTAGGGATTTCTTTCCCATCCCTCTTGGATTTGTGTGCGAGTTAGAATACATTATCCCCTGCCCTCAGAGAAGGGTTCAAAACGCTTCTGGCATGGATGCAACAGCATCAATCCGTATCAAAGACTTATCAGCACGTTTCTCTGCACGTGTAAGAGTCCCCGTAGCTCCCCTCACCTGCGCATCCTCCTGTTCTCCAGGAAGGAGGGAGGGAAGCTCGAGAGCACCTCGGCTCCCCGCCGGCAGCCACCCCTTCCCTTCCCTTGCCGTGCAAAGAGGGGCAGCCCCGGCTCCTCGCCCCTCCTGCCGCCACGACCAAAGGGGAGCTCGCCGGGGCTCCGGTAGCTCCACTGTCCCTCCTCCTGGCGGGTGCTGCCCTGCGGAGGGGCAGGGATGCCGGAGCCTCCGGAGCTCGGGAAGCGATCTCGGGCAGCCTCCCCCCGCTCCCCGCCGCGGGCACTGACCTGTGCAGCAGGACGCTCTGCACCGAGTCCAGGTCCTCCAGGTTCCTGGTGACGGGCCGCGGGATGCTGTACCTGCCCGCCCCGAACATCGCGGGCGGGCGGACGGCCGGCAGCCCCGCATCGCCCGGCCGCGGCACCGGGACTGCGGGCGGCCGCGGGCAGGTGGCGAGAGCCCCTGAGCCCCGCAGCCCGTCCCGTCCCGTCCCGTCCCCGCCGCCCGCCCGCGCCCGGACCCAGCGGCGCCGCGCCGCGGGGCGCGGGGGAAGCGCGCCCTGCGCAGCCGGGAGGGCGCGCCCGCTCCAGTGCGCTGTGGCACGCTGTGGTTTCTGTCAGGAACTTGCCAACCGTGAAAACCCGGCTTGCAGACAAATAAAGTAAAGCAATTCCTCGCTGCAGCCGTAGATTTCCACCTCCCCCCCCTCACCCAGAGCTTCATTCCCAGCTATGTGAGCAAATAGTTTTTCCCCGTGTATTTTCCTGCTGGTCAAAGTAATGAATTGCTCCGTTGATTCTCTTTCATTATGTAACAATATGAATAATTAGCAATTGCACAAAATCCAATCCAGTATTTAATTCCCTCTTTCACAAAATATTAGATACAAGTGGTTTCAGCTGATCACAGGACTCCTTACTGGGTCTGTAAAATTCTGATGCAGTATATTGAATGAACAGGGACATGAATGTATAAACCCGTATCTTCACCGATTTTATTCTTTCCTGTGAATTGCCATAATTGATTTTCTCTGCTTCCTTTTATGGGATCAGTTTTCTCTAATTTTTCAAGATGTGGTCATCTCCTCCAGGTTTTCTCCGACAGCTGACATAAGATCAATAACTAATAAAGTCTTGCAATCTGTTGCAAAACCCATGAATTTTAGTTTCCCTCAGACATTGTGCCTGAGGTAATTACAGAAGCACAGCAATGCAGTAGTTTCCCAGAAAGACCATTAAGAGGAGGACCACTGGCATGATAGACAATGGATAGCAAACTAGAAACCACTGAATATTTTAGCACCACACTCAGTGGGATGGTGGCCACCACGTGGAGAAAAAGCTTCAGCTTTTTTGGAGACTTTGGCTTGAGTAGGCAATGGCAACAACTCAGTTTGGAGAGGGTGAATGCAGAATTACCATGAGTCTGTGGGTGGGATTCTCACCAAGTAGTGTGAGTCAAATATTTAGGTGTTTACATGTTTCCTTTTCTTAAAATTTTGTTCTCCTTTTTTCTTTGATACCAGCATGAAATTTTAAGAGAAGGACAATCCCCTCTGAATCCCACTCCTGTCAAAGATGCGGAACCACCACCCTCCATTGAGGTGAGTGACAGTAGCAGGACTAAAATAAAAATCGTTTGGCACCAGGGTGCCAGGGAAGCTGAATGTACACCAGGAATTTGTGTCTAAGTAGCAGTTACTGAAGGAGTTTGGCATGTACAGTACCAAGATCAGCATAATGCTTTCACAGTGGGCACTGAGTAAAGAAATGTTTGCACTACCCACATCTTGATTTCAGAAAGCTGATGGAAAATTCGTGGTGGTTGTGTCACCATTGCCTTAGAAAAACACTTAAGCACCATCCATATTTCAGCTTTTTAACCTTTTTTATGCCCTGAGGGAACAGAGATGTTTCATTTGTACACAACAGGGGTGTGTTTTCCCCATTCACTTAAGACAACACCAACCCCACATCTGGGTCTAGAATTTGATGGTAGAAAACAACGAAACTCCCAAACGTTACCATCAAAATCACCCTGTGTGTCCAGAAGGCCTTTTCAAGATCCTTGTCAGCTTTTCTTTTTTCCTGGGCTCCTTCTCATTGGGAGACTTTTTTTTTGGTGTTTCTTCAACTGCTGAGCTAATGCCGAATTTCATGGTAGTATCATCTGCTACTAGTATTTTACTTTTAGATGGATTTAAAATTGGTTGTGAAGATCTTTATTAGAATTTCTTACAACTCAGCAAAACTAGAATGTGTAAATATAGGTATAGAGACCCCCAAAATGTGCCAAAATGAGAGAAACTGGCTTAGGTTTTGTGTAGCTTATGAAACGGAAGATAACAAAGCATGACACTACTGACAAACAGGCCAAATTACTAGTTCTAAAATCAAATAGAATGTTTTTCTAGGTGTGAATTGCAACTTTTACCACTTTTAGTATGCCTAGACTCAATATTTATGGGTGACACAACTGGAAAATGAAAGAGGAGCAGAGAGTCAAAAGGGATACAGTGGATACTTTCAGAGCCGTATATTTTTCCCTGAATGTATTTACATTACCTTAGTTGCACATAAGTTTTTAAAGTTAAAAGACAGGGGTCTGAGCTAGCATTAATCCTGCAGATACCCCAGCCTTTGACATTTACAAGAATTACTTTATTAAGTTTTGTAGATTACAGTTTCACTATAATACAAAATGCAATTGCATTGTATTTTCTGCAAGATTTTAGGCCACCTTAGAGGAAGGTCAGGATTCCATTTCAAGTTTGTCGGCTCTTGTATTTGTACACGAATGAGAACATGGCACAACAGCACATTTTTCTGAATCCCATAAAGTATGTGCAGTTGGAGAAAGATTATAAAATTCTGCAATGCAGAGAAAACCAAACCAATAGGGATTGGGGAAGGAGGAAATTCAACTGTTTAAATGCACAGAAGTGACAATAATAGAGAATTTTAAGAGACATCCTGCCTACAAAGTAACAATAGCCTACTTGGGCTCCTATTTGTGGTACTTTTGCTGCCTTGTAAAAATCCTTCTGCTTTGTTACAGAACAATTCTGATGTTGCTGATGTAAAAGAAAAAAAGATATAACAAAATACTCTGATGCTGTGTTTATGATATACTCCTCTTTCTGAAATTATACTGTGTTTTTTCTCCAGCTGATGTTAGGCTCTAGCAGATTATGCAACTATTTCCAATGCTGACTAGGTCAGAAGTTTTTGAGTCATAATCCCCTTCTGGAAAAAACGAAAAGAGGCGGTAAGGCTACTTTTGCAGTATTCAAACACTTTTAATCTCCTTGACTTGGCTGGTGAGTTTTAGTGTGCCTAGGGATCAAAGGTAAGCCAGCATTCATGGGCTGCACAAGGTGGAAATCA